TCGCGCCTTCGGCGCTCGAAAATTGCCTCGTCTTGTCCTGAAGTCTGGCTACAGCCTTGGTCGGCAACCTCGCCTTTCGTTCTACTCTCAAATTAATTTTTGCTTTATATCTCGTGAAGTAAAGAAGATATCAAAATTTATTTCAGAAGATGATAGATCTTTATTTTTTTATATTAGACATTAAATTTTCAGGAAATTGGAAAAAACATTCTTTCTTTACATAGGAATTCATTTTTAATTAGTGTAGCACTTTTTTAAACTACTTTAAACAACTTTACCACTTAAACTTTGTAAAGATGCTTTGTTTGTGTGTCATTCAATGTATCGAAACTGCGTTGTTTTCTGATTTTCTTTCCCTTCGCTTTAATTTATTTCTATTGAGTTATCGAGATTAAGTACTTTTGTAGATTTCTGTGCATGTCGCTGTCACTTTTTTTGCCTTTGTGACAAATTGTCAAGAATTTCAAGAGTTCGCGAGAAAATGTCCAAATTTACGATTCATGTTCAGTTTTGGAGGAATCTATTCGGTTGTCATTCCGAAAGGCACCTTAATATCCGAATAGTCCAAAAGGAGCTTTCTCCTGAAACTTTCTTAAGTTTCTGTTACCACTCTAGCTTGGTCATTTTCATTTCTACTGGTTTCTATTGAAAAAGCTCATTGTTTGGCAAAATAAGTGGCCGCCTTGATCCATATGTCGGTTACAATAACTGCAAGTAGAAACAATTCTCCATGAAAGTTTAGAAACACCACGCATTTCCAATTCTTTGTTCCTACCAAGTGAAATTTTGCTAGGACCCTATTTTTTTTCCAAAAGCACTCTCAATCTTAACCAATAGAAGCAGTCATTATAGAACCCGACGATATACCAGAAACTTCATCAAAGATATCCAGGCAAAGTCTACTCTCCCTAGAAAAGTTCCACCATCTCAATGTACCTAACATTGAAGAAATTATGGTATACGACGACTTTGAATGCACATTTAAATGCCTTCACCATCCTCTGTGTGTCTCCGTGAACCTGGCCGCTGAAGGGCAACTGTGGTGTGAGTTACTGTCAACTGATAAGTACAGGAGTCCCAACGAATACAAAGAAAACAAGAATTCGCATCACTATTACTTTGAGGTAAGGAGCTAAAATTATCATCAACTCTGAAACTGTAGTAAATATGAGCCAACCGCGGCGGCAATAATCTTGAAAAACGTACAAATTCGCATCGTTGAGTTCATAACAATAATGTGTCAATGTGTCACATGGAACCTGACAGTGTCAGTGTTAACCTTGATAGACGAGTTATTCTACACCGTGGGTACAATTATGAATTTAGTAACGTTACTCACGAACGACAGAAACTCGACCTGAAGGAGGCTGAAAAGGAATTTTATCATGCATCTGAGGTAGGTGTTACTTTATAAGCTGATGGTCAGTTTCTGCGGAATAATTTGGATATATCAACAAAGTTGAAATGGTAAATTGGCCAC